GAGGGAAAAGTGATTCAAAGTCTGGTGAGAGCCAAGCCAGTGGCACTGTTCCCTGTCTAATCCCTCCCCCAGGTACAGCACCGTAACTGCAGCAAAGTGGGTTGCCCCGCCCTGGCAAATACCTAAGGTTCTGCCTCTTAGAACATAACAGGCGCTGAGACAAAGAAATATGGCCCAAATGAAAGAACAGAATAAAGCTCCAAAAATAGAACTATCGAGGAAGAAATTGCCGACCTATCAGATGCAGAGTTCAAAACACTGGTAAGCAGGATGCTCACAGAAATGATTGAATATGGATGCAAAGTAGAGGAAAAAGTGAAGGCTATGCAAAGTGAAGTAATGAAAAATATACAGGGAACCAACAGTGAAGGAAAGGTAACTGGGACTCAAATCAACGATTTGGAACAAAAGGAAGAAATAAACATTCAACCAGAACAGAATGAAGAAACAAGAATTCAAAAAAACGAGAAGAGGCTTAGGAACCTCTGGGACAACTTTAAACGTTCCAACATCTGAATCATAGGGGTGCCAGAAGGAGAGGAGGAAGAGTAAGAAACTGAAAACTTATTTGAAAAAATAATGAAAGAGAACTTCCCCAATCTGGTGAAGGAAATAGACTTCCAGGAAGTTCAAGAAGCTCAGAGAGTCCCAAAGAGATTGGACTCAAGGAAAAACACCCCAAGACACATCCTAATTAAATTACCCAAGATTAAAGATAAGGAGAGAATCTTAAAAGCAGCAAGAGAAAAGGAGTTCCTGTAAGGAATTCCCATAAGATTATCAGATGATTTCTCAAAAGAAACCTTACAGGCAAGAAGGGGCTGGAAAGAAGTATTCAAAGTCATGAAAAACAAGGACCTACATCCAAGATTACTCTATCCAGCAAAGCTCTTGCTTAGAATAGAAGGGCAGATAAAATGCTTCCCAGATAAGGGCAAATTAAAGGAGTTCATCATCAACAAGCCCTTATTGCATGAAATGTTAAAGGGACTTATATAAGAAGAAGAAGATCAAAAACTACGAAGAGTAAAATGACAACAAACTCACCACTATCAACAACTGAACCTAAAAAACAAAACAAACTAAGCAAATAAGTAGAACAGGAACAGAATCACAAAAATGGAGATTACATAGAGGGTTATCAGCAGTGAGGGGGAGGGGCAGAATGGGGGAAAAGGTTCAGGGAACAGGAAGCATAATTGGTAGGTACAAAATAGGCAGAGGGTAGTTAAGAACAGTATAGGAAATGGAGAAGCCCAAGAACTTATACGTATGACCCACAGACTTGAACTAAGCGGGGGGCGATGCTGGTGGGAAGGGAAGGTGCAGGGCACAGAGGGATAAAGGGGAGAAAAAGAATGGGACAACTGTAATAGCATAATCAATAAAATATACTTAAAAAAAGAACTTGGGTTCTATTGAGTACAACTTGAATAATTATGACCAAATATCTTTTTTCCTCTACTGACAAGTATCCACAATTATCTGAATTATCTGGAAGATTTATTCAGTGCACTAAGTATTTATCAAGCACTCTGCTCTTCCCTAGGATCCCCAATTTGCAATCCAGCTGAGAAAACAAAAATAACTTAGGTGAAGCACTTAGCACATGAGAGGAAAACTACACTGCATGGAGAGAGAAGTTGCAATGGCTTCAAAGATTTTATATAGAAAAGGAAGGATGCCTATGGAAAGGTGGAAAAAAGAGGCGCACTGCGGGTATACCCATCGACCAAGCTTTTTTTCATAATGGTACCTAGCGGGTTCTAGCTGAGTACGTGTCTTCTAACCATCTCATCCTTCACTGTCACCCTCCAGACAGCAAGTCACTATTGCACCTACTGCCCTGTAACAACTGCCAGCATTGATGCTTCCTGTATTTCCAATGCATAGCCGCCATCATGGGAGTAGGGCAGAACAATACTCTTCCGACTTCGATGGAAGTTGACCTGTCATCATTCCTCTGTGTGTAAGCATAAAGTCATGTTGAAGTTATCAAGCTACTAGGAATGAATGCTGAAAGGTCACCATGCCTTAAGGAAGCCAGAGGCATGACTCAACTGGTAAAACAGGGCTGGGAAAGTTGTGATGATCCATGAGAAGCAACGTAGGTCAATCACCCTAGCCAGAAACAGGAACTTGGAGCACATTCCAAGAAGGGCATGAGCTCTGAAACAGGAAGAGAAGACGGTACTGCTGGTAAGGCAATTATGGGATAAACTGGTCTCAAGAAGTAAACAGTGATAACTTCCATTGATGCCACATGGTCACCAATGACACCATGCTCACCTTTAAGATTAAAATATTACACTTACAGGAGCTGGGCTTCATTTAGAGGTAAGAGAGTCAGAGGCCATGGTGACAGAATGAGTCCTAGACAAAGAGAATTTGAGAAATAGTAGCAAGGGCCCTATGACCAGTAAGCTAGATCTTATCTAAGCTAGGGCTAGAGAGAGGCTTTCCCATGGCAAATGTGATCCATTGGGAGTGGATGCTTAGAATGGTAAAGGAAGGAATCTGAGGGCCAAGCTGGGCTCAGTGAGAGAATATGCCCAGACTGGTCAAAAAATGTTTATTATTGGTAAAGGCAGGGAAGATGGCAGCACAGTGCCATGGCTGGACCATGCTACCCTGTCAGTAGAGGTTAGTTAAGAAATATTCCCCTAAACAAAAGAAAACATAATTTGCTAGACCACAGTAGCTGTGGTCATCTGAGCTTTGAGTTCTGAGTAGTCAAACATAGTGGTAAAGTTAATGGTTATAATCCAAGCCAAGGAAGGACTGGCTGAGCTAGGGCAGAGACAGTAAGTCAAGGCCAGAAGGAGGCAAGTTTACAGGTAGAGGAGAAGACTAAGCCCCTCTCCAGTGGGGTTCTTTCCACCAAAGCGAGTCTCATGATACAATCACATGCTACAGGGTAATTTTACAATTGCTAGTGACCATGGGCCAATTTCACTCCTTCCTAACAGACTTGAATTGCCCAATTTATGACGCTAATCCAACCTAGGCAGGTAGCTCCTGAGGTAGCTGATCTGTGTACAACTTCAGTTACTCTACTTTGCCTGTATAGCACGGGTAAGAGAAGAACATAGTAAGGGCTCTGAAACAACTGACTGCTGTCAGCAGATATTTGCTGAGCATTCATTGGGAACCCAGCACCAGGCTTAAGAGTCAATACTCTTGTCAACCATGTGGACCAAGTCCCCCTGCCCTGTCCAATAAGGTGATTCTCTCTAGGGGTGGCAATTGAGGAAGTGGGTAGAGTGGATGTCAAGAAGTTAGAAGAGCTGAGGCAGGAAGGGGAGGCACCAACTTCATCAACCCAGGGGGAACCTGTAGGCTCAGGTGTGCTTGGAGGCCTAAGGCCCGGGCTCCCAGCACTCTGGACACCCACAGGAAGGTAGGGAGACCAACAATTCCTTCCCAAGCATAAAAGGGGCCAGACACTGCCCACGGCCTCTCCAACCACCCTGTCAAGGCCCAACTTCAGGGAGCGTTGGGTCACCATCCTCTGAGCTTTACTGTGATTTGCTAAAGCATGGCCCCTGCTGGTGACTACCTAGCAGTTGAGAAAACATGATGACTATTCTGCGCTTGACACAGAATAAGTAGGTAAGCATCAGGTTGAAAGTGCTAGAGCATACATTCATATTCTATAGTCTTTCCTCTTTGGGAAAATGTAAAATTTTAGTTCAAGGACCTACATGGAGCAAAAGGTGTTGCCAACTAGAGCACAGCACTGATTTATATGTGTTTATAACACTTACCCTATACAGTTCTACAAACCAAAATGCACACAGCCTTGTGATAACCAAAATCATTACCAGAAACAGTGCAGTAAACATGGTGAGTTGGCAAGAGTAGTGATATACTGAGCAGATTAATTGGAGTATGGGGAAAGTATAGGTCTTCCCTAGACACTGAAAATATAACTAAACTAAAAAATACTTTCAAATACCTAATGAAAAAATTACACACACTTTTCTTTTCTCCATATAAATCATAACATTCCATACTACATACTATGTGTTTCTTACCAACTAAGGAGCTGCCAATGTCCCAAATTAACGTGTTAATCCTGAACTTATTTGGGAAGCCCACTGGTTTGTCAGGGTTTTTTCCTCCTCCTCAGCTCTTTAGGGGAGAATCATCTGGAAGAGGGGAAATGCTCAGAATTTCCTAAGAGGAAAAATGGGCACTCACTGGAAAAATACACGGTATATGCTCCAAACGCTTAACTAGTTTGTTTAACCTTCAAACCCACTTAGCCACCAACCATCCTGTTGTTCCAAGATCACATTGAGATCAACCCTTCTAACCAAATATGCCAGTTTCCACCTAATGACTATAGATGAGAGTGTTTTCAAACCTAAATTTAGGATCTGAGGAAAAGTGCACATTCCTGGGTCAAGGGCCTAGTTTTTCCCTACATGCATTCACAGAACCCATTTTTAAGATCCAAATACAATTTTCCAGATTTTAAACCCTCCCCCAAAAAGTGAGCTGGGTGGGGTGAGGCACTAGGACACGTGAAGCTGTGGAATGTCTACGGGGATTCTGCCAACTTTCATTCAAGCCTACGCTGCGACCCAAAGCAGAGAGGAGGATTCTACCCTGCCCCGCAGCTGGAAAGGGAACCCAACGCTGAACTTGCTCTGCAGCAGCCTCGGCCCGGAGACCTAAAGGGAAAGGGGCGGGTGCTCCTCAGAGAGGCCAGAGCCCACCTTCCGGACCACTGGTACGCGCACCTGTCCTTTCTTTCTTTCCTGACCGAAGGGGACAGGGTCGCTCATGGGGATGGTGCGCCCGCGCTCACGGAGGATTTTCTCTTTGCGCACGAGGCGGAGCAGAGAAAATCCTTCCTCGTACCACGAGAGTTGTCCCTGGTCAGTCTCTGAACACGTGAAGGCGACCTCTCACTGCGCCCATCCCGATCCCAACCCTTCCCAGCCAAAGTACCGAAGTCCCCGGGGCACCGCTGCGGGCCACCGCACGCTTACCTGGCTCGAGCGCGCCGGCTGCGCGGTGCCTAGACGACTGAAGTCCGGCCTGGGCGGTGGAGTCCGGAGCTCGGCGCTCGCCAGCCCCGCCCCCATCACCCCGCCTCGCTGGGTCCTCGCTCCGCCTCCTCTTACTAGCCGGCGGAGACCGGTTCTCCGAGCCACCGCAGGTTTGGCCGGAGTGGGTCAGAGCGGAGCTCAGCTCCCACAGCCCTGCAGAAGTTTCAAGGGGAGACCGCGGAGCGTCCCTGCGTTCCCGGACGCGATGCTGGGCGCCCCTAGGCCAGAGCTTCCTACTCAGGAGAGCCCCTCTGGGAGGGCTCGGACATCCCCCGGTTGAAGAAGCCCGAGCAGTGCCACCTGTGGGTGACAGGGGACTGTCGGATTTAGGGACCGCAACTCGTCTTCCGTTAAGTGGTGGGGGGCCAGGCAAATAGCACAGTGCAGTGGAGCGAAGCAATGAGTTTTACCGAAAGGGTAAGTCTTTACACTGTCGAACCTCAGCAGATCTGGTAAAGGATCATGTGTACTCATATTAAAGTATTAATATTAACACTCCGCTTATTGAAGAGTAAAAAGAACAGTATGCAGGGTGGGCAAAAGTAAGTTCACAATCGTTCATTTGGAAAATAATACAATAATTAATAAATAATAATGCAAGAATAAACTGCTTCATGTACTCACAACTGTAAATCTACTTTTGCCCCACTGTAAGATTTACAATGTGCCAAGCACTGTTCTAGGCACTTTACATGTTTTAACATGTTTATTAAAGTATATGTTATCAGAATCCCTCATTTTCACTGGTGGCAAAACCGAGGCATAGAGAAGGTAACCAGCCTAATGTCACCCAACTAGTAAATTTAAAAGCTGTGTTTCAAATCCAGGTAGTTCTCTCCTGGAATCTGCGCCCTAAACCACTATCCTGATTCCAAAATTTGAGTGCCCACCTTGTCCCATGAACGGTAACCATGTTACAGGCTTAGGGAACACAAGACAGGGTTCTGGCCCCCAGGGGTTTTATGTTAGTGTAAGAAGAAAGAGAATTCATAATCAATAAGCAAAGTAAAAATGAAACTATTGCATGTGTGAAAAGTGTCTCGACTAGAATAAAGCAGGGTGATGGCATTGAGAGTGTTGGGGCGGGGGCTCCTTTAGACCTGGTGGTCGTGGAGGCTTCTCTGAGGAGGTGACAATGGAGGGGACTGCAGGAGCTGAGAGCTGAACAATAGAAGGGACTGGCAAGTGCCTTAAAAATGATCGTACCTCATGCTTGTTTGGGACATAAAAATAGGCCTTCTTATATTTTCTCTCCTTTAATCATACAATAACCCTGAGAAGAAATGGAAAAGATTCCATTTTACAGGGGAAAAAAAAAAACCATCCTAAGGGTCACAGGTTTATGGACTTGCCTAAAGTCATACAACTAGGAAAAGGCAGTGGGGCGTGGAAAGAGGGCACAGATTTGAACCAAGGCCTTCTGATTCTAAGTCCTCGTTTACTGTGGTGAGGGCCTTGGGTATAAAGGCCCATCCTCAGAATGAATCCAGCAAAATTTCTCTGTTGTGACCTATTGTCCTCCCCCAACCCCAGTTCTCCACTGCCTTTCTTAGCCCATTCAGATACTCATATTGAAGGTTGACATAAATTCCCATAAGGCTTGTGTTCCTTGACGGAGCAGAAGTCAGGAACCTTCTGAAACTGTATGCAAAAATAAAATGTGCATGTCCGTGTATGAGAAGAGCAAGAGAGAGAGAGAGTGTGTGTAATAGTTAGGTAACTATGGTAATAAAGTTCGTTTTCTCACAAGAAAAGTGCTCATATGCATATACGTATAAGGACAGGCCTCAGAACTTTCATCAAATTGACTAATCCCTTAAAAGTCTTAAGGGTGTCAATTGATATCGTAGTGACTAGAAAAACTGATTGCTCACTCACTTTGCCTATGCTAGTTTGTTGATTCTGGTATCTCGTATTTCTGACTCAATGGAAATGAAACTGCAGAGGTTTATGACGTTGGATTAAAAAGGAAACAAATTCTTCATAAAATTTAAAATTAAAAGAGAGGCGAATGGCACTATTGTCTCTTAGTTCTCAAGAAAACCAGAGAGGGCTGAACTGTAAACATAACACCTAGGTCAACATAATTCTTTATCAGTAATAATTGGGGTAGTTTCCATAACGTTATACTGTTTCCTGAAGAAAGCATTCCTTACATTATTAATCAAACAGTTTGAGTAGGTGGTTGCCACAGATATGTCATCCCCAAGGCATGCACTGAAGAATACTGGCAATTGTTCTCGTCGGGGTGAAGACAGAGACAAGAGACAGAACGAGACAGAGAATTTCAGCTACTTTGATGAAAAAGTGTAAAACGGAACTCAGGATGTGGTAGGATTTTTAAAAAGTTCAGTCTTTATTATTTCTTATGTGAAAAGTGCACATAAGGGTACGAAGTTTGGGCCTATATAATTTGAAACTTTTACATTGGGTATCAATCTAAAGAAGAAATCTGATCGTGGAATTCAAAAGATTTCTCCTCTTCCTCCAAGGAGAAAAGTCAAACAATATTATTCCTGACTTCTTTATTTTGATAAAATTGAGATACAGGAAAAAAGGAGTCATTTTATGACTTTTTAGAGACACGTACTCCCTTCTTACAAGATAATCCCCATGACTTCTATGAAATTTCTATGTTTAGATGAGCAATGTCAGATTGACATAATTTTAGTTCCTTGATGGGAGAAAATGCCTCTTTTTAACTTGCATGTAGATTCCACATTAGGCATAAAGGGATACATAGAATCAACCTACAAGGGTTGTAAATAAAGTGGTGTTTGTATTTGGAGCTTCTCACACTTTTATTTTTGTTAATCTCTGGCTTCCTTTTGTAACTTTCTTCCTGCCAAAAAGGAACCTGGCCCATCCTAGATGAATAAAAAATGCTTGTAGAATGAGTAAGTGATGACAATGATGACAACAATGCAAGCCTTTCAGTCTTGCACAGAGGCTGTTCCTACGTAGAGATGACTTCACTGCGGTAGTATGATATGTGTGCCTTTCTTTCCATGATGCACTGAAAATAGTTGCTTCTCTAAAACTGCATTGAAGGGAGGAAAATTTGTTTTGTTTTTTTCCTTAGCAATGTAAAGAAAAGGATTTTATTTTTTTAATTTATTTTTTATTGTTGACACTATTACAGATGTCCCCCATTTTCCCCTGGTTTGCGCCCCTCTACCCACCTTTCCCCAAACTCCACCGTCCCACCTGACTCCCCCACCTCCGCCTTCACCACGTTGTTGTCTGTGTCCATGGGCCATGCATATGTGCATGTATGTTCTTTGGCTAATTTCTTCCAGTCCCCTCCACCCTCATAATATTGATATATTTTGCTTCAACATTTCCCTGTTATTGGACATTTAGTTATTTTATTATTATTAGTGATATAAACATACTTTTTAATGATATTTTTTCTTTTTTTTGCATGATTTGTCAAATATTCCCAGGAGTGTGATTTTTTTATCATGTTAGACACACAATCAAAAAGCACACCCCTGGGGCCGTGGCCAGTGTGACTCAGTTGGGCACCATCCTGCAAAGTGAAAGGTTACTGGTTGGATTCCAGGTCAAAGCGCATGTCTACGTTGTAGGTTCGGTCCCTGATCTAGATGCACAGGAGAGGCAACAAGTCGATGTTTCTCTCTCACGTCAACGTTACTGTCCCTCTCTTTCTCCCTCCCTTCCTCTCTCTCTAAGATTTTTTAAATATGTATATACATACATATTTATACACACACACACATACACTCCTGCAAACACAAAATCAAAAATTATACTCCTACACTTTTGAGTGACAAATAAGTCACTCGAAAGAAAAAGCATCATTACAAAGTATGTTTATACTATCATCACTAATAATGAAATAATTAAATGTCCAATAACAGGGAAATGTTGAAGCAAAATATATCAATATTATGGAACATCAGGCTGTCATTGAAAATAGTATTTATGTTAATAAAATAGAAATGTGGAGAAGTCTGTGACCGTTAAATGAAAAAAGTAGAACAATGCTTTATGTATTCTAGGATTACAACTAAGGAAAAATTATGTGGAGAGAAGACTGTTGCATTCAAAGTAAGAATGATGAGGGGATCCCTATATGCCAGGCTCTGATTTAAATGCATTAGATTAATTCATCTAGTTCTTAAAACTGTGTGAGGCAGGTACAGTTCTAATTTTCATTTTGCAGGTGAGGAAACTGAGGCAGAAGACATCTGAGTAATTTGCCCAAAGTCACACAGCTAATAAGTGGCAAAGTGAGGATGTGAATATAGAGTGCTGTGCCTCCAGCATTTGTACTTTAAACCATGAAAAAACTATGTTTAAATCATGGATTGTGCTTTTTTAAAAACATATTTTCTTATATAATGTTTTTACATTTCTTTAATAGTAAGTAAAAACTTTTTGAATTGCAGAGTCAGATGATGCTCAGAGAAACAGATACAATGGTAAAGATGAGAAACATATTGAGTGAAGCTATCTGGGTTTGGCCAACTTATGTTTTGGATTAGGACCTAAATAGCGTTTCAGAGGAGTCCAATATATCAATGACTTGATAGTTTATGAGGATTGGAATAAAATGAGCTATGTCACATAGAATGTTATATTCTGTATTATTAATATGTGTAAAGACTGTATTCTGGCCTGATAGCTTGCAAGTGCTGTTTTTCCTACCCAGAATGCTATGTTACGTTTTTTGAAGGTGCCACTTTCTCAGTGATGGCAGTTGTAAAAATGCGACCATCACTCCATTAGCAGGAAGCTGAGAAAACATTGGTGAATAATTCCAACAAAACTCCCTCTGTGGTAGAACATATGTTCTGGTGGAAAGGACAGTCATTTAAAATTTGATTTAGCTGCATCCCCTTGTGATAGGCTAAATAAAGGCCCCTCAAAATGCCTTTTATGTAAATATATATATATACATCTACATATATATCCATATATATGATATCATATGATATATATATACATATATATACACACATACACACACACA